CAGGAGCTGAGCTGGCCTCCGCCTGCGGAGCCGGGGACAGCTCTGGGGAGAGCAGGCTGTCCGGGGGCGCGGTGGGGCACGGGTGCATGGGAAGGGGCCTGCAGCGGATCCGGTCTGGGATGGGGCTCCAGTGCGGGGGTTGCCTTGCTGTCACCCTGTGTCACAGTGGGCTCCAGGTCTGCGCTGAGCCCCCCAAACGCAGCAACTTTGCAGGCCCTCGCTGCCACAGGGCTGGGGGAGCAGGAGGGCTTGGAGCAGCTTCCAGCCATGCTTGGCCTCCCCACGATGGTCCTGTCTCCGGTGCAGGCTGCCCACAGAGCTGATGGGTTCCTCACCCCTTTCACTCTTCACCTCTGGACAGGACAGTTGTGGTTTTGGCCAGCGGAGGTTATCAAGGCCTCAGATGAGCCAAACTATTTGTGCATTGGTCCAAGGTGTAGCTGAGGTTGACTCACCCCCAGGCCAATGAAGGTCCTGGAGCTGTTCCAGCAGAAAGGAGCATATCTGACCCTTCTTCTCCACCTGATGTGTTTTCTCCCCCTCTCCACAGCGGAGTCGTGCCCCCGGAGCCTAGACTGCACCCTGCAGCGCCGGGAGCTCTGCCCGCCGGGGTCCCACACCTGCGGGCCCTGCCTCCAGCAGTTCGTGGAAGACGACCATGGGCGATGCGTCCAGAAGAAACACTCACCCAGTGGTATGTGCAGCTACATTGCAGTCCTTTTCCTCTCTGTTACAGCCTGATGCCTGCCAGCAAAAGAGACGTGACTTGGTTCCCTGTCACCCCATGCTCCACCTTGGCACCATGGGTGCTGGGTGTTTCCCTCTGCACGGGCCGTTCGCTCATGCCCAGCAGGAGGCATGGAGGAACTTCTCCTGTTCCCCTGCTGTTGGACGTGGGCCGGGCTCCACGCAGAGGTGTGCGTCTCTTTGCAACACGCAGCTCGTAGCACCACCGCTGGCGTGTCACTCGCTCCTGCAGGGCAGCTGGGGTCCCTTCGCGTGCTCCCCCTGGGTTCTCGCTCATGCCAGGACTGGGCACCCAGCACCCTGCTCACCCCTGCAGCCGGGAGTGCTCCGGCGGTGGGTAAAGCCTGGCATGGGCAGCCCTGGGCTCACCCTTGGTGCCACCAGCTCTGAGCTGGGGAAAATGGGCTTTCCTCTGTCTCTGCGCAGGGCTGGCAGGGGAGTTGGCGCCTCTGTGAGCCTGGTTACAGGGCAGTGGGGACTGACTGCCTTTTAGTGCTATTTCTTGCTCATTTTAGATGCTAATCTGCAGTTGATTGATAGGGAATTTTGTAGTGTGAGCTGATGCACCTGAACGTGGGACGTGTGCTTGGTTCTTAATCTCTTCTTGGGCTCCTGGAGAGAGGTTGCCACTGGGCAACCTCAACTCCGGTTAGCTGCGCTCTGCACACCCACTGCTGTCCCGCGCTGCCAAGCTGGCAGCTCACCAGCTGCTTTTTCCCACTGGGCCTGGCGCCCTGTCCCAGATACCGGGCTCCGGCCGCAGACCACCTTCAAGCGCTGACCCCGCGCAGCAGCGTCTCATGCGGTGATGGTGACAAGCGCCTGCAGTGCTGCCTGCCTGTCGCTGGGCTTTTACTGAGCTCCTCTGAGACCATTAACCCGCAGCCAGGTGAAGCTGGCCCCAGGGCTGCCGTCAGCGTTGCTGGTGCAGAGGAAAGTGCTGACGTCAATCCCCTGGTGAAGCGGTGGGACCCGGCAGTGCCTGAGCCTGCTGGGGCTTGGGGGGGCAAGGGCAGCAGTGGGGAGCAGGGTGGGAGGGCTGCAGCGGGTGGCTGGAGGGTACGAAAGAATGCTGGCAGCGGACGGGATGCTCCAAAATGGCCAGCCGGCTGCTGTGGTTTACAGGCTTTTTTTGGCAGGGATATCACTGCATTCTTCGCTTGGGGGCAGTGGAGAGCCCCAGGCTTTGCAGGAGCGCAGCGGCTTTCCCTGCACGGTGCCGTGACTCATGCAGCCCACCCACCTTGCCACCCGTGGCCAAGGCCAACGGGTGCCCACGGCTCAAGCGTGCTTCCTCATTCATCCCGGCGCTGAGCCAGGCTGGGGTTTGCGATTTCAGTCCTTGGGCTGAGACGCCAGCTTGTGCTTCAGGCCATGTCCGTCACCCCCGCGCAGCTCAGCCAGCCTGCCCTCGGCTCTGCAGCGCAGCTGGGGGCGGGCAGCTCCTCGGGAGCAACGCTCCCTGGCTTGCTTTTTCCCCTCGTAACACTTTGAGCTCTCCCCATTTCACTCTGCTCCTGTCTCTCTGTTTGCATTGTGAGCCAGTGATGGCTTGAAACAGGAGCTAGCACAGAGGCGCCTGCTGTGCGGTGATCTGCAGGGAGGGCACGTCGGCAGCAGGCAGGGCTCAAGAGCTGCCTGTCAGGAGGAAGATGGGACATGTGTTAACCATAGCAGGGCTTGCAACGGTGGGGGAGAGCTTGAAGGTGTTAAAGGCTGCATGGTGTATTGTCTAGATATTAACCCTCTCCTTTCTGGAGGGAGCGAGGTCCTTGCGGGGCTGTGGCTATTTGCTGTGACGTGAGGGCCCTCCTAAGAGCTGCTGGCCTGCAGAGAAGAGCCAGAGAGGTGGACAGGAGAAAGGCAGAGCATCCCCTTGCAGCAGGAGGAGAGTCCACTGGTCGCCCAGCTCCACACGCAGCCCAGCACCAGGGCTCTCCCCATCTTGACCCGGGAGAGGTGTCGCTGTAGGTGCTAGTCGTCGAGCCCTGCTGCATGCACGGGAGGATGGAGCATCCTGGCTCCTGCCCAGGCTGCGGTGCATTACAGGATCCTTGGAGAAAGCATTCCCTGCACGTCTTCAGCGGCTCCTTCCCGTGGCTGCCCTGCCTGGTGCACAGGACCTGGTGAACGGGGAGACACCCCTCTTCCTTTGGCCCCAGCAGGTTTCGAGCACAGACTGCACTGGCAGCAACGAATACTTGGCAGATGAGTGACCTTCAATTCTTCACATAGTTTGGAAAGCAAAACTAGCTTTAGGCAAGGGCGTTTCTTTCCTCCTCCGCCCCCCCCGACTTTTCTTTCAAATTCAATAAGCAGGTGAATTAAAACTGTAATTACAGCTCCACCCAATTATTCTTGCTTTAGCTAAAACTGAGCAGCCTCTTTGCGCCGGGTGTGAGGAAATACCTGGCAATCCCCTGGCACTCCACTCGCCCTCGGGTGGGGGGGGTTTCGCTGGCGATGAACCGGGTATAAAATTGGGAGGCACTGAAACGTGCAGCGCCTCTGCAACTCGCCTGCAGCCTCACGGTTCCTCCCCGATTACCTGCCCCGCTCCCGCAGGTGTGCTAGCGCAGAGCGGATTTTGGCTGCCGATTGCCAGCAGGCCGCGCGCCGGCCCTCGCTCGCACATGGTATGTACAGCCAGCAATGCTGGCGGTCTCCCCAGGATCCAGCTTGTGCCCGGTGCTGGTGCCCATGGGCAGGGTGCTGCCCCGCCAGAGGGCGTCAGCAGGGTCTCCTGTGCCCCCTGGGCTTTTGGTGTTGGCCCATCTCCAGCACATGGCACCAGGCACGTCAACAGAGCAACCTTGCCGCTGCGGGCTCTGCTCCACTGATGGGCAAGAGCCTCCTTGCTTTTCTGCCCGGAAGAGCCCCTGTGCCTCCCGATAATACCACCTTGCATAGGGAAAGGGGACCAGGCTGTCATGGAGGGGGCTGTGACAGTGCTCATCCCCCTCCAGACATGCTGCCAGCAGCTGGGCTGCTTTCCTGGGACGTTCTCCTGGTTCGCTGCTCCCGAGCATCTCGCTGACGGGAAGATACAGCTCCCACGGGGCAGCCTGGCTGGCCCATGGCAATACTGTGATACTGTAGCATCCACAGCACTTCCAGACAGGGCCAACGGGTGTAAGCCTCGTCTGCCTTCAGTCTCGGGGTGCGTTGAGCACCTTTCCAGCCCTTTCTTGGGAGCGGGGCTGGGTGCACAGTTGCTCCAAGCCAGGAGCTGGCTTGCTGCACAGCATCTCCAGGGGCACTTCTGGGCCCCTTGCTCTCATGCCAAGGCTCAGTGAGCTCCTGAAAACATATGCGGGGTTGTTCTTCACACTCCACGGTGGACCGCGGCAGTGGTACAAGGTGCTGCAGGAAAGAGCGAGAGCTTCCCACCTCTCCTGGCTCAGGGCCCATCCATTATGGACAGCAGCCTTTGCGTTTCAAACAGCCCCATGAAATATTCACGGGAGCCTTCAGGAAAGGGCCCCAGAGGCCGTGCAAAAGCTGGAAGCTTGCTCACGTAGGCTCCTTAGGGGAGGCCAGGCTGGAGGACGGGAGTCCTGGCTCTTGTCGCGCCAGTGGCCCAGCAGCCAATGCAGAGACCTGCGCTCTTCTCGGCTCGCTCAAGACTATGGTGGGGGCCTGCCCCATGGAGCTGGGCTGTAGCGGGACCCAGAGGTCGTTCTGCCCCCAAAGCCCGACCCGCTCATTGCAGGGATGGGGCCGTACAGGTTGTTTCCCACGCCTTGAGCCCTTAGCCTGAGAGCAGCCGTTTAGGGCAGGCGAAGGTTCGCCCGCCTCGGGACACCGGAGCGGATGGGGGACCAGGCTCTCCCTAGCCCCTCCCCCGGGGGT